AAAAAAAAAAAAGAAAGAAAAACGGAGCGAAGAAAGGAGAGAAGAAAGGCACGAGAGCGATATAGAGTTAAGAGAGTAATTAGGAAGAAGTGCAATTGCGAACAAGTGAGTGACTCGAGAGAATGAAATACGAATTCTTAATTACTCTGGAATTGTATACGACAATTTGCGCAAGTGGTTCTCGTTTACAGCCGAGGCTCGAATAACGAATAGATCTAGATTATCGCGACGAAATCTAAATCAGCATAAAGACCCTGTAATTACTTAACATTAACAGGGTGGCGAGACTCAAGACGTTCGCGCGTTTCGTCTCAAGTTGTGTAACAAAGTGAAGTTGATTTTTCCCTTCTTTTATGCGTTTATACGTCTCACGCATTCACTTTTTTCTTTTCTTCATTGAAATCGTTCCGACAGTCTTACTCGATAACAGACGAAAATCTTTAATTGAAACATTTGTCGAACTCTGCCGAGTCCTCGACGCAATATCGTCTATCCAATATCGTAGTAACACACCGCGAACCACGCTGTCCCAAAATAGAAAAGTTCCATCCGAAAGCGGCACGCTCGATCGACACCCACTTCTCGATTGCTCTTCCGTTCACGCTTCTCCAGCTCCTTTCATAACCCCCGGTTCAATATCTCGTTCGCACCTCGTACGACATTCCGAACTATCGCCACGACGATGTTTTTAACAAGCAATCGTCCTCTCCTCTCCTCCCCCCTCCTCACCCCCATTCGCCCGGTTGCGTAGCGAAAATTTCATCGAATCACCGCGGCGAACCGCGATCCCCCACAGCGTTCCGCTACGCGCGATCGATGAACGCACGTGCATCGAATACGTCGAATCGTCGAAAAAGCGAGGCCCCGTCTTTATCTAGAAGGAACGCCAAGCATACCGAAATAATACGCGGTACAAATCGATATCGGTGGGTTGCTCGATCCAGCCGGGGGAGGGAGGTGGCTTTCGAGTCGCGAAATATTGCCACAGAAGCTCGAGTTTTCGAACCGCGGGACTATAGGAGAGAGGAACGTTTGGCATAGTAACTCGAGAAAGCGTAGATGAGAAGAGAAGAGAAGAGTTACAGTGACACGCGAAAATACAGCTTCGCGCCTGTCCTAAGATTTGACACGAATAAATAACTTTGAAATGTTAGAGATACTCACGAGTAATATCGTTTTTTCATCGAATTTTAATCTATAAAACACGCTAAATGTCGATATATTTATAAAATATAGGTTATGTTGTAATAAGTTGAATCATTGTCACTATTGCCACACACGTCAAGAATTTTTTGGCCCAAAATTGCTATAAATTTTCTCAGTTTTAAATATATTTAAATATAACCCAGACGAAACAAATAATAAATTTATTAATTCTTAGTAATAATTTCAGTGATATCATATCGACGAATTATTGTATACGGTTTGGTCACTCGTTATGGTCCGCGAATCGGTTGCCAGCGCAAGGGGTTAAAATTTTGATTTGAAGGTTAGAATTTTACACGACAAAATAAATTGTAATATTTTCTTAGTTTTAACTATATTCAAATATAAACCAGGCA